AATATAGTGGTAGTGCTTTTATGAGCTAATTGATTGATTTTGTAGAAAAATAAGGTACTTTAATATGTTCTTATAGAAAGGGAATATATAAATAAAGTTTCCTTCTTCCTTATTTTTGTTTTCTTTTGTTATTGAAACAACTTCTATGGTAGAAGGGGTAATATAGATAGCAATGGATTGACATAGTGGAAGGAAACAAATGACTGATAATCGATGATGATTAGAGCCTAAGAGCTCTATAGATTTCTCAATTTTGCCTCAAATAACTAATGAATGACCTCATTATTGAGTTCCATAGATTCAGAATTGAGATGTGCCAAGATTTTAGAAATCTCAAAATTAGAATAGCAAATCAATGTAATATTTTAGTAGAAGTGGCACCAATTTTAGTTCAAAGAGAAACCCTTAAAGTACATATTGACCAGTGTTGTATCTATCAAGGTCTTTCACTAGCTCAATGGGAGTTCTATGAGTTTGACAAAAAATTCTAAAATGTTTCTTAAGTAGAATTTATTGTGGTAGAAAGTTATTTTTACCATAACAACTTCATTGTCAACTTTATAAAAAACTACAGAGCTCTCAAACATATCCTAATAGTGAGATTATTGAGTTCCACTAATGAATATCATACAAATATTAGCTATTGTATTTGCTAAAATCACAATTAATATCTCTAATTACATTAGCATAACTAAATTTGGATGAATATCATCACTTAAATTTTTTATTTTTATTTTTTCATATTTTTAGTTCTATGATTTTTAAGGTAAAATTAAGAAATTTATAGCCTTTAATTAATATTTTTAAATAATTGGAACATTATGTATTTTTCTTCTATGAACTTTAAAGAATTTTAAATTTTAAAAGCAAATTTCTAGCTGTAGCTGTACTTCAAATAATTATTGATTTCTTTTCATTAATATTACAATTACTAAATTTTTTTATATCATATAAATAGTAACATATAAATCTAGTATTTATAACTTTTGTTGCGTGCTAGAAAATACGCGGCGGTAGAGTTTGTAAATTCGCGTATGAGCGTTGCACGTAAATCTAACACACAAGCAGTAAAGAGGATATGAACACCGGGATTTATACGTGGAAAACCCAAAAAGGGAAAAAACCACGGGGCCTTGCCCAGTCGTAAAATTCCACTAGTGTTTTTGTAAATTACAAGAAACTGATTCGTCCCACAAATCGGGACGATCAGATTACAACTTGAATCAAATTTACAAAGTTTCACAGAATCCCGTCATTTCCCGAAAATCCGGCAGAGTTCCAGCGTATTCAGGCGGCGGGAAGAGCTCCGGCGGTGGTCGAGGAGGAGAGGATTTGCCTTTTCCCCTTTTCCTTCTTCTTCTCTTCTTCTTCTCTCTCTTCACTTGAGTCCCCTTTGTGAAGAATGAGGGCCCTATTTATAATTTTTCGAGAGTGTCATAGCTCGTAAATATGTATGAGATCATGGGCGAATAGGGAGTGGATTGAATGGACGGCCGATATTGAATTAACCCTTCAATCGTGCATCGTTCGTTGGACATTTGGAGGCCTTAATGATGTCAGAATTCGGCGATCTTGGGCTCGTTGGATTTGTCTCGTCGAGCCGCTGATTGAGTATAAGCTCGTTAAAATCGGAGACCGTTTGGTAACTCAAATTGCGGTTTGAACCTTCCAACAGTGCTTCGGTCCTTGATTCGGACTCTTTGGGCTCGGATTGGGTTATCTTGGGTCGTTGGGTTCGTATTCCGAAGACGCTCAGTTTGACTATAATCTCGCTGAAATCAGAGTTCGGGTGCTCCCGAAATTAATTTTTGAAGTTTCCAACTAGCTTTTGCCTCGAGATTCGTGCCCATTAAGCTAATTTTGTGATGCCGTATCAACCTTAATTTATAATAATAATAATAATTAATTTAACATTATCTTATTATTAAGAATATTTTATTTATTGTGTACATTGGTTATTCCCTTTTATCGTTTTATATATATATATATATATATATATATATATTATATTATATAGTATATATATATATATATATATATATATATATATATATATATCATTCAATTCAAGGTTAGAGAAGTAAAGTACATTTATGTGTTGTAAAGATTAATTCTCATTATAAATCCATCTTTAAAAAGTAGAATTGCACCCTCAAAACATTAAACTATATTATGAGATTCTATTTTAGTTTTTCTTTTTTATGTGAATTTATTTAAGTGTCAGTTTAGGACAGCTTTATCATTGGTCCTTTTTTTAGATAGCAACCACAACGACGATTTTATTGTTTTTTTATGCTTTCTTACTACTTTTCAAATATATATATATATATATATATATATATATATATATATAATCACAATAGCGAATTTATTTTCTTCACAGTAATTTCACAACCAATTTTATATAATATTGTCCGAACATACCCTAAAAAGTATAACAATACTCATATATTAAAAAAATGGTGCTTTAAGGAATGTTTATTTGATATTAAGCATATTAGCTGCAAATTAAGGTTTATTAATCATGTGATTATAGTTTTATTATTTATTTATTTATTTGATTTTTGGAATTCAAATCATGTATCTCCCTTTTGAAGATTTACAAATTATAGTAATAGTTAACAAGTGATTTATAATTTGATAAAAATTTAGTATACTTTGTATAACTTCAAAAAGGTCATCAATTTTTATATATATACATATAGCTGCAGTCCATGATCCGTAATCTGTGATTTTAATGATGACAAATATTATTGATTGAATTTTTATTTCTCTCAATTGATATTTTAGATATTCCTTTTGTTGGTGCGCACTAACATTGCAAGTAAAATAGATACTGCTCAAGACTTCCGAAGACTCAAGATTGGGTAGAATATGATGTCAATTAAAAAAGCCTATACTTTTACTATTTTTTTATTTCTTGAGTCTGGCCACATAAGTGTGTATGCAATTGGGTGACCGTGCACACAGAGAGGGGGAGTGAAAAATTTAAAGTAAATTTTTTTTATACTAATCAAACTGTATGAATTACATTCGTACTATACTATCAGCTACACAGATAATGAGTTTAACGACTAATTAAATCTTTAATTTTTATGAACTAATCGTACTATATGATCTTTAACATACTATAGAATTTATTTTGATCTGTAAAACCTAGCTGCCAAAAATATTAAGTAAAATATTTAAAAAAAAAATTTTTGAACTAATCATACTATAAGATCCTAATCATAGTGTACGAATATTTAAAATCTTACTTAAATCATGCACCATAGTTTGTCTACCAAATTATGGCTTAATTAATTGTCATAATAGAAATGAACTTAGGTCATCCCAAAGATCGTACCAAATAAAATTATAATTTTGGAACTAATAGTATAGTATGATATCCATATCGTATTGTATGAATTGTGAGAAATATAATGACTACACTATACGATGCGCATCATACTAGATGATTGATATATATGATTTTAAATCATTTTAGGGATCATAATGTATAAACAAAAGAAATTGTATACATTATACTGTATGACCTTACGATCATACTAGACAATATGTTTAAAAATTTGAACAATTTTTTGGCCAACTGTTCTCATTATATTGGATGGACCTAATTTTTGAAATGATCGTACCATACAATCCACAATCATATCGTACGAATAATGATGCCTAAAGTTGAATTTTAGGATTTTTTTTAAGCCCATTACTAAAGCAATTTTATAACTTTATTTTTTCATATTAGGAGAGGAGTCTTAGGCTGAAGAAGGAACTCTAGGAGAGGAGTTTTAGATAGAAATATAGAGTTTGAGAGGAAGGATAATCTGGGGTTGAGCGTGAGCGAGGAGTAGTGTGAGGGGGTCAAATGGTTACACCAGGCTAGCTTCAACTTTTTATCCTCTTGTGGCATTGGTGAGTCCTTAAAGGCTCTTTTGGAGAGAGGCTTCAAAGTTAAGTCCTCGAGGTACTCTAGCTTCTCCAGGAGGGAGAAAAAGGAGCTGAGTGCTCAGCTTTCACCAGGAGGGAGAAAAAGGAGATAAGATACTCTACCTTCTCTAGGAAGGAGAAAAAGATTGGAGGTTCGCTACCGTCACCTTGAGGGTGATATAGCTTCCGACACTTCACCGCATCAGGTTTGGTTAAAGGGATTTTGTAAGGATTTCTCGGCCTTGTTGTGGGGGCAAAATGAGATTCATTTTTAGTTTAATACCAAGAGCAGAAAACTCTAATGAGTGGAAATAGATCAAATTTGATCGAACAACTATAAAATTTTTGGTGTGTTTTTTTTTTCTTTTTTTTTTTCAATTCTTTCTCCTATTTTATAATCTGCAAGATGAGTTTATTGATTTCAATATTTTTGATCAACTGCACTTAGGTTCATGGTTTGCAATAAGAAAATTCGCATGTTTTAAAGTATATATATATATTTCCAACTATCAATTGCTTGCACACGTTGTTTTTAAGTACTCTACTTTGAATTAGTTTTTACGCGCGCGCGCGCACACGCACGCACGCTAGCGCGCACGCGCGCACGCGCGCACGCACATCATTTTGGTATTTGTTTCTAATGCTACCAAAAGGAGAGATTGACATGTTGGCTGTTATGTTTAGTCGTATGTATGCATTAAGGCATAGGATTAGTTATAATAATAGATGAAATCATAGTTAGTTAAATAGAAATATATACTCTTTTAGGACAAATCATTTTGCATCTCCATCTTCATTACTAGCAATCAAGGATTTTTCATATGTAAATGGGTGATGGCTTACCCAACACATCGTTTAACCATAATAAATATATGAATATAAATATTAATGTTTATTTTTAGTGAATTTAGTATTAAATATTGCATAAATTTTGATAGGAGATATTATATCATTTAGTGATTGAAGAAAGCATAGAAAGGACTCAGAGCCATTAAATTTTAGAAGTTCAAAATGCTCTTTTTACTATGTTTACGTGACTGTCGCTATCAATTGCCACCTAATGAAAAAATAACAATTGTGACAAAGTAAGAAAACCATTATAACAATATAGATCAACATGGAAAAAATTCAATGCCTAACAAAAGAATTGATAAAAAAAATAAAAAATAGCTATGAAACAAATGAAAAATGTAAAACCCCGTGATCCACCATTATCATCATAATAAGCTTCCCGATAAACCACATTTTCTTCCCTCCCCTTCCTTCTCCCTCCGCCCTCTGCCATCCTCATGTGAGACATAAAATGAGGAAACACACTCTTGTATGATCCCTCACCTATGAGAAGATCAGAATGTCCATATCCCTCCATCACCACCCTTTTGTGTTGAAATCCTGGCTGGTGCAACCTCATATACCTATAACCCAACATAGATGTCTCAGGTGTCACTAAAAGACTCCTCCCGCCAGAAATATATAGTGTGGGCATAGCCATTCTTTCAGAATGAATCAAATACATGTCCTTTCCTTCAGCATCGATGACAAAGCCGGCATTGCAAATTTTGCGAAGGTGGGGAAAACCAGACATGGGTAGATGGGTCACATTTTGCTTGCTCAGCCACTGGTGCAAGGTTTTACTTATGTTTGCATGCCAGAATGCATTTCCAAAAATGCCCGAGAAGATCTCGCACTCATCAGAAGTGCATCGTTCAGTTCGTGGGATGATTCTTGCTAACTGTTTCAGAACAGAGTGCCTAAACTCATCCTTTGAACTATCTGTTATCGATAATGTTGTGTTCCTCCCAAGGACTGCCATTGTTACCTGATCAAGCTCAAGTTAGCATGCTTTGTGTGATTCAATTATAAAACTTTTGCTGCTTCTAGCTAAGGATGGACAATAAGCATATGTTATTCAAGCTTTGTATAATTGTTTTATGAATATTGTTGCTTCTAGCTAGGCATTGAATAGCAAAGTATAGCAAAAGTATTATGATCTCTGTTCGTGTCTTATTTATTAATTGGTTGGGTAAGATATAGTTGTCTAAATCTTCTGTCAAAAATGGATTACAAATTGTTTGACTTTCGTCTCTTACATTTAATTTCGTGCTAGCTTAAAATTTATTTAAGCTAGCTTGAATCAAGTAGTCTTTAGGGTCAATTTCTTACTATTTCTGTCAGGTTAGATTCACATTGACATTTGTCCAACAAATGTTCGACTACATTTCATACTGTTTTGCTATCTAATTCCACTTTTAAAATCAAATGTTTGTTTCTAACAGCAACCAATTAAATGCTTGTTTTGAAAATTTTCGCCATTGAAAGCCTTTTTATGAAGTAATTGATTATTTTTTAACGTTGTTTCATAACAAGGTAAAAAACACATCATTTTAACTTACAGGCAGTAAGGGAAGCCTCATTTTTACTGAAGCATAGTTTGTTAACTTGAAGAACATGGAGGAGTTCGTGCAAGAAAGAGATGCAATTTTGCTTGCAGAAACATGTCCTCCCATTAAAGCAATGTGAATTGCTAAACCCCCAACACAGTGTGCAATTACATGTATCCTACTTGAAGGACCATGCACCTCGCGAATTTTTGCTATTACTGCAAAAAAAGATTATTATGACACAAATGTTATTATTGCAGAAATTGAATTAAAATAAAAGTCAATTGCACTCATCACTAGGAACAATCTCACCGGCAGGAATGTCAAACTTCCCAATGTCTTCAATGTTGAAGTCGTTTGAAGGATGAAGAGGATGTAATCTTGGTTGAAGAAGCCAAATATCATATCCTTCCTCTAATAGTATTCTGACCAAATCTCTCCTTTCCGTTGGCAACCAATAACTCTCTCCTGAGTATCCATTCAGCAGAAGTACAGGATATTGTGATATTTTCTCTTGAGGCTTCCACAAATTTGGAATTCTCTTCCATTGCTTGCAGCTAATAGTACAACCATCTTCTGCTTAGTTTGCAAACAATTAATTAACTAGATAGTACATGAAGGTGCTCTGGTCCATTTTAACAGTAGTTAATTTACCTGTATTTAAGCTGTGAAGAATATATGGAGGGTAAGGGACTTGTTCTACTTCGGGGGAGTTAAATTCCTCTTTTATATATCTTGGTACTTGCAAGAAGTATGTTCTCCAAAGACTTTGCAAAAGAAGGCATATAAATTTGCTTCTGTGCTTTCCTTTCAAGCCAACCACACTCCTCAGGAGCTGAAAGATTGATATTCTGAGCTCACCTTGAAGGCTCAGCAGCTCATCGCCTGAATTATTATGTTGTATGTGAGCTTTACCATCATTATTCTCAATTTTTCTGAAAGTAACATGCATTGTTGTCGACTCCTGCCAAGCATGAGAGGCTAGCAGAAAAGGGTTCATCACTTTTTTTCCTTCAAGAATATATCTGCGTCAATTAGAGTTAAATCAGATTTAATTAGCTTTAATTAAAATTTAATTTGTTTTATTGAAGTATTACTAAAGTAAGTACTTTGAACCCGAGCTTGAAGCTAAAGTTAGGCCATAATGCATGTACTGTGTGTAGGGAGTTCTGCTGTTTACTGCACATAGGTCCACCTTACCATCCAAGATAAAGAGCTTCTCCTTCTCAACACTTTTGAAAATGACATAACCACCAACTTTACCTTTGAGAAGAGAACTTGAATCTTCTATAACTGAACTTTCAGGGCCAAAACCTTTGTTATCTCTACAGTTCATATTCATTATTAAATGAGCGGTGCAAGGCATTCCTGCTATAAAACCTCTCATTTTTTCTTTCACCAAGACCATATCACTGAACATATTTTCATGTTCTTTTGTAGTTTTTGGTATTGAATCCACATTCTCATCCGCATGTTCGATGCATTCCTTCTCGCGCACTGTACTCTTGAAATTTAGAACATCATCTACTAGGTGCTGACTAATATGCTCTGATAAAGTCGTGATTGTAAGGCAAGGGTTTGTGCCAATTGAGCATGGAATTAGAGAAGCGTCAGATACATATAAACCTTCATGAACTGTTACTTGATTGGCATTTTGGTTAAACACTTGCCCGTTTGTATTACAAACCCCTAATGATGCATTTGATGCAGCATTGCACCCTCCAAGGAGATGAACACTAGTGCTTCTATAACATGACATGAAGAGAATTCCTCCCAATTTCCTTGTAATATTCTGTAAAGCTATTATCTTTTTTGGTAGAAGTGGATCATTAGGAGGAATGATTCTTACCTTTTCTGCATCGTCATCGAATGTTATTCTTCCATCACAAGCATCATAACCCATCACATTAAGAATCATATCATGAATAGCTTCTAATCCCATGATACTACATTTTAATTTATCTATTAACCCGTGTAAGAACCAATAACAAGTAGGCCAGCCATAGGTTGCTATTCCCTTTAAGAACAAATAAGGGTATGAAGTAGGAAGAACTCCACTCTGCAAAATAGATCACCAAATGTGTGCTTGAAAAATAATTATAATACTAACTGAATCACCAAAGAAAATCAAATTTCCTACCTGAATTGTGAAGCCGCTAGAAGAAGTGAATGAAGCAGAGATTGCAGGCCCTGGCCTGTTATGAAATGCAACCTCTGAGAATTGCTTCTTGTTTAACCCATAAGCACGTAAAGGGGTTTTGCTCCTTGTAACATATGCCACATTGTTTCCATTGCAGCTTATTCCGAGGCCTAGTCTATCTGAAAGTCCTAATCCTCTTTTTTGTGATTTGAGGAGAATCTCAGTTGTACCAAGCACTCCAGCTGCAGAAATTATGAATTGTTGAGCACTGTACAAGTTTTATTTTCATTTCTTGTTTTGCTATACGAAAGTTTAGTTCCGTTTTTTACCTGAAATAACCACAAAATCTGAACTTATGTACTCTAAATCATTAAAATAAACTCGCCACCTCCTATGATGACACTTGCCTTTATAAAGACAATCTTCACCTGGATCTTTAACAATATATTGAACTTTGATTTCTGCTTTCACCACACATCCAGCCTAAAATAAATTAGAACATTTTGTAAAGTAAAAGATAATAAGTAGTGGTGAATTAAGAAGGTGAACAAGCACATGCCTCAACTGCTAAAGCCAAATAGTTCTTATCCGTGGAGTTCTTGGCATTGTAGGGGCAACCAGATAGGCAATTGCCACAAGCTAAGCAACTTTCAAGTTTTTTAGATCCTACCAAATTATGGCCTTCTTCTTCTTCTTCTTTTCTGTCAAAATTTATGCTGAGTTTTATAGGATCAGGTTTATAGTCTTCAATCTCTTCTTCGAGAATTTGTGTCATAACTTGAGCATTAGTGAATTCGGCAGGAATCACCTGTGCTCCCAACATTGAGGATGCTAAACGTTCGAAGTGTTCCCAGTCCTTATTCCAATCTTTTGGCCACCTAATGTCTCTTCTTGTTCTAATTGGCGTAGGCAAAAGCACTCCAGCATTTACTAAAGAGCCTCCACCAAATCCACATGCTACTGCGGCTAAAGAATCACCTTCTTCATGTATCTGAAACATAATTGAACAAATTCTAGAACATTTTAACATTTAGATTGCATTAAAAATGTTTCATCATTTTGGGGGTTGGGGATAATCTGTATTTTTCTTTTTTGAAGAAGAAAAAGTTTGCATTAAAATAAAAACAAAAAGGCAAAAACTACAAAGTGGATTCCTCCTTCAACAAATTAAAATAGGAAGGAGGAACCTTATTCAAGCTAAACTCTTCCCAAATAAAACCAATGTTTAAAATTGCGTATTCGGGTATTGAGGCGTTTTTCATTCGTGAGGCGAGGCGTAAGCCTCAAGGCGTTTTGAGGCGTAAGCCTCAAAATCAAAATATTGCGTAAACATAAAATGATAATTTTTTATATAAAAGCATAAGATATGAAATGAAATCAAAATATCTCAATAATAAGACAACATGAAATATAGTTCAACTCAAAATTTTATCTTTCCCAAATCTCAGTATTCTTTTCATTAACATATAATTCCAATTTCCAAAAATAAATAGCAATGATATATCACATAAGAACTCATAAGTCATCAGCACTGTCATCACTAAGGACTTCTTCATTTGAATCATCATTATGGTGAACTGCTCTCTTGCCTTCCTCCTCTCCTATAGAGTCCAATGTCGGGCATTTACTTCAAGATTTATGTAAGTTTTAATATATATAGAGTGAGGCGTAAGCCTCATGTCAGTGAGGCGAGGCAGACCTCAAGGCGGGACTCAACCAAGTTGAGGCGCAAGCCTCATAAAAAAAACTCGAGGCGTAAGCATCGAGGCATTTTTTATTGGAATTGCGCAAAGGCGGGCCTCAAGGCGAGCCTCATATTGCAAAATTTTAAACCATGAATAAAACTACTAAAAAGAGCATAGTTAGCACACAAATTTGCTAACTTATTACTCTTTCTTCCTATACAATTGAAAATGACAAATTTAAAATCCTAAGAAAATCAAGATCCTCCTCTTTGTAACTCCCATTTCTCCAAGCACCTTGAAGAAAAGAGATAATGTTTGAATTGTCACCTTCAATGATGATACCCTTGTACTTGAATATCTAATCTTTAATCACATCCTTCAAAGATTGAATTGCTAGAAGCTCCAATTGTGCAATGTCCTAATGTACACAAGATTTTCGAAATGCCAAGAGGAATCTACCTTTGCAATCTCGGAAGACCCCAGCAATTCCTGTTCTATATGAAGAGATTGAGAGGCATCGACATTGACCTTTAGCCATTTGGGTGGAGGAGGATGCCAAATATTGGACAGTTTATATGACTGGTTAGCATCCTAGTGGCCCAATTTAAAATGGCTTAAGCTGTAAGAAACCGAGGAATAGCAAATAGCATTTGAAGCAATGAAAACTGAGCTTTCTTCCACACCTTCATGAATGCCTTTGTTCCTAGCTTTCCAAGATAAGAATATTGCATAACAATAAAGATTAAGAAGACTTCCATCCTTAAGATCAAGAAGATCCAGCTATCTAAGACATTCTTCAAATCTATCAAACATAGAAATTCCAATTCCCCAATGGTTTAAGCGTTGAATTACCTCCTTAAGCTTGAGACATTTGCAAGCAATATGATTTACATCTTCAATCTCATTACAACCTCTAGGACGATTACCACTGTCAATTAACTTTCTATAACATAAAAAATGAAATGACGGAATGACATTTCTACTTAGTCTCCACCAAAAAACATCAGCCCCATCATTTAACTTGGCTTTCTTGATCCACTTCCATTGCTGGAACTCATAGCCTTCTTGCACCGAGGCTCTAAAAGCCAACCCAACAATAGAAATTCTAGATTTCTGCTGTAACAGCTCCATACGGTCTTCATCCCCATATGGTATAATTTTCACCTGCTTAATAAGTTTAACCAACTCCATAACGAAATGTTTCAACAGCACCTCATCATTCCAACAACCATTTACTATGAATTCCTTGACTAAGACTACATCATCCACATGTGGAACAACAAAGATAGGCCACATGTTGATACATTTATCCATGATCCAAATGTCTTTAAAGGCATCCACCGATCCTCCATTAGCTACTGTCCATCTGACTATTGGTTTCAGCATTCTACCTCCATCATTCAATAATCTTCATGAAGAAGAACAACATTTACTCACATTTCCCATGTCAAGGTGATCACCATGTTTAGTAGCCAATATCTTGTGCAATAGGGGACTCTTTATCCTGAATGAATCTCCAAGCCAACCTAGCTCTTAAAGCAGGAGTTTTAGAGACATTAGAATACAATCCACGACCTCCCTTACACAAAGGTTTGCAAAGGTCAAACCAACTTACATAATGTAATCCAAGTCTTCCATTAGACATATTCCAAATGAAACTCCTACATAATTTGTCTAATTCCTCCAGCATTCGTTTCGGAATTAGAGAATGAGTAGCATGAAAAGTACGAAAAGAAAGCATAACTGATTTGACCAATGTCAACTTACCCGCCAATGATTTGAATTTGCTCCCCCATATGTTGAGCATCCTCAAAGCTTTGTCAATGATGAATTGAAATTCATCACTAATAAGTTTCCTTAAGGCAACTTTAATCCCAAGGTAATTGAATTCTTTAACTGGTTTGAATCCCATATACGAGAGATGCTTTTCTTCTTTTCCTGCTAAAAAAATTTCCAAATAAAATGGCAGATTTACCCATGTTTATATGTTGTCCCGTCCATCCACAAAAATCATATAAGATAGTCTTGACTTCCTTTAGCTTCTGAAAACATTATAACATCATCTACATAGAATATTTCTTCTAAGGTTAATATGGCATCTATGGAATTACCTTTAGGTAATAAGTTTAAGTTGCTATCTCAAGTCTTTGTTGAGGAATTGAATAGATTGGATGCTAAAGAACCAGTTAAGCAAGCCAAAGTTCTTGAGATATCTTCAGATTTTGAAGTTACGGTTTTGGAAGTGAAAAATCCCGATTCAGATTTGTCCAAAGAATCAATTATTGTTGATGGAGTTCCAGTTCAATTAGAAGATGGAGAGATTGATCCAAATGCTGAAAACTTTGTTGTGGAAAAAGGAATGGATGCTGTTGCGAATCTGATTTCAGAGAATATAATTTTGATGATAACAAACTTTTTTATGACTGCCTTGCCTACTAACATTTTAGGTCCAAAAGATCGAGTGCAAATCAAGTCAGCTTAGAACACACATGCTCATGGAAATTTTTTGTCTATTTTTATTGTTTTATATTTTTGATCACATCATCTGGGGTGATCCAAAATCATCCTAGACAATCAGTTAAAAATAGAAACCCTAATTAGGGAATCCTGGTTAAGCCAACCATAATTAAGCGAATCATCCTGGATGATATTATCATTATCCGAGAAGATATGATCAAATTAGAAAGAATCAGCCGTCATAACCTTTTAGGCATCTTTTATTTTTGGACATCATCTTGTACGATGCACTACAATTATGCCTAAATTAGTTTAGTAATTAAGGAAAATAATTAAGGTTTGATTGCTCGATCATATCATCTTGGACGATTAATTAAACTAACCTTAGTTCTTCCTTGATGATCAATCGACTTGGCTCCATCAAGGCCAATGTTCTAGATGATATGTGATGTTTTGTTCTAATCATCCCGGACAATCGTGAGATCGGTCTGGACGATCTAGTTAATTTTTCATCGATCATACATCCATCCAGGGCGATGTTCTGGACAATATATGATATTTTGTACTAATCGGCTCGGACGATCAAGTTACTTTTTTATTGTCCAGACATCTATCCAGGGCGATGGTCTAGACAATATTCGATGAATTGAACTAATCATATAGAATGATATATTATCATCCTGAACAATCTAATAAAGGAACCTTCTAATCAGCCAGACTCTCCCAAATCATCCTTGTTGATTGAGCTAAATTTGAACTGATCGTACGGGATAATTGGTCGATCGTCCTGGATGATATTTGACGATTAGTTGCAAATAAGGGAAAATTTTGAGCCCTTGTTTAAAATATCTCTTATTTTCTCAAGAGGAGATATTTTGCTTCTCTCTTGACCTGAGAGAGCCAAGAGGAGAGAGGGAGCAAGGGAGATAGAGAGAGGATCTTGTGAGGGGCAGTTTGTGAGTGGTTCACAAAGGTTGCTCTAAGTAAGGATCCGAGTCATCTTCTTTGGTCGTCGTCCCTGGTTACTTGGAGGTTTGAGAGAGGTCTACTTGAACAACTGATCAAGGTTCTCTACCTGCTTCAAGAGGAAGTAAAAAGAGTTGGGTTCTCTGCCTTCTTTAGGATGAAGAAAAAGAAGTTGGGTTCTCTACCAGATTCAGGAGGAAGCAAAAGGCATTGGATTCTCTTCCTCACCAGGGTTGGTGGAAAGGAGTTTTTGTACGGGCTTCTCCTCCTTACTATGGGGGGCAAAAGGAGATACACTGAGTTTAGTGCAATACCTGGAGGAGAGGCTCCGGGGAGTGGACGTAGGTCAAGTTGACTGAACCACTATAAAATTTAATGTGTTCTTTCTTATTAACTTTCCACATTTAATTTTCGTACTTTAATTTATGTGGTGATTGTTTGGTTGTGTTTGTGATTTTATTTAGAGAAATTTTTAAATATCAATTCACCCTCTCTTGGTTAGCTTTAGGACTAGTTCATAATGACTTAACATCCCTAATAAACTTTCAGATGCAAATACTACTCATCAAGAAGAGCTTGATAGAGACAAGGATATTGATTTATCAAAACCGGATGGAAGTAAGGAAAAATTTGTTAAAGAAAATACTAAAAATGATTTCAGTGAAGAGGTTGTTGAAAGCATAGTAAGAAGTGTTCCAACTTCAGAATATGAAGAATTTGTTTCGGTTCCTCATTTGGCTTGTAAGGAGAATGTGAAGGATAAAGAAGGCTGTATTGATGTAGAGGCCGATTTGGATATCAAAACAAGTAGTGAATGAGTTTCGGACATTTTAGTAAGTGTTCAAGATCCTGAAAGTGTAAAGCAGGTTGCAACTACTCCTTTGTCCAAGATTTATAATGCGAAGAGTAG